GTTTCCCCTGTGGCCCCTCCCCGGGCCTGTGTGTTGCTGGGTCTGAGCGAGGAGACCCGGTTAGACTGTGCCCCAATCAGCCACACAGCTGGCGGTGCGGCTGTCCCCGTGGGGCTGGGAGGGGGCCAGGCTGACTGCGTGCGAAAGACAGAAAGCAACGAGGCCGCCTTTGCAGCCGCTGCCTTTGATTGCTGCACGGAAACCTTTTGTCTTGGGGTTTCTGCAGCAGCGAACGGGACCCTGCAGCATCAGAGGCTGAGAGCGATCGTCTCCCCCGCAGGCTCACCCGCTGGGGAGAATCCACTGTGCTGCTCCCCAAACCCTGCCCCCTCCCCGTAGGTACCTGCTACTGCAGCTTCTGCCCCTGGGGTAACGTAACGGCACGTTACAGAGGCTGCTTCCTAAGCTAGGCCAGAGCGGGCTGAGAGGTTGTGAGCGATCACGGCATGGTATGTGATCTGGCCCCCGGAGGCTTTGAAAGAACCTTCTCAGCACGGGCTCCGCAGAGCACTTCAGCCGGCCTTCGCCAGGCCCAGAAAGGGCAACATGCAGGGACTGAAAATAATCGCAGACTCTAGTTCCCGGCTCACTGGCGTGGCAGGTCTCTGCTCCTGAGGTGCCAGGCAATCCACACGGTGTGTTAGCTCAGCCTCGGCTCTGTCCCTTTGGGTTTCTAGTAGGCTCCGGTAGCCAGCGCCGAATGCGGCAGGCACTGACCGGAAGCGGCTGTGAATGCACCGCCAACCTGTGGAACTCCTCGCCAGGGGATGTTGTGAAGCCCAGGACTTTAACAGGGTTCCAAAAAGAGCTAGATAAATTCAAGGAGCTTAGGTCCATCAATACTAGGGAATGGTGTCCCTGGCCTCTGTTTGACAGAGGCTGGGAAGGGGTGACAGGGGAGGATCACTGGATGATTCTTTGTTCTGTTCACTCCCTCTGGGGCACCCGGCATGGCCACTGTCGGCCGACAGGACACTGGGCTGGATGGACCTTTGGTCGGACCCCGTCTGGCCGTTCTTCTGTTCCTAACAGCAGGAGATGGTTGGGCGGCAGGCTGCAGCGTCTGACGGGAGGTGGCGGACGGGGCTGGGGCAGCCTTGCTGGCTGCTCCCAGCCCCTCGCCTCTGAGGCTGGAACTGGGCTGACCAGGAGGCTGGGGATAGAACCCGGCCTGGCAGCTCATGACCTGCACTTGAGCTGCAGGTTCCCAGCGTGCGCAAGCCCGTGGGCCCGGTCTGGGGGCAGAAAGGGATCCTGGCAAACCCCCCTGGGCATGGCCGGGCTGTGAAGAGGGGCCCCGCCCCGGGCAGGGGGTCAGCAGAGGGAGAAGCGCCGGGAGTTGATGTTCATGCGGGTGACCCCGATGTGCTTGAGCGGGGTGGAGAGCAGGAAGGCCGCCTTGGGGGGAATGTTGCAGAGCAGGTCGGAGTCCTCCTCGCAGCCCTCCAGGCCGAAGGTGGCATCGTCCAGCATCTCCTTGTGGGCTCCGCCCCCCCAGCCGCATCAGCTGCTGGGCCAGCTGGTGATCCACGGCCTGCATCTCCTGCTGTGCGGAGGGGGAAAGGGGAGCCGTGAGGGGCCCAGCCGG